TTGGAAACCCAAGGAGGAGTCGTTATGAGTTGGATCTGACTTGATGGCAGTGGGTAGGAGCTACTTCATGAGGTGTTTGTGAGGCTCAAAGAGGGCACTTGTATATTACAGTCATTTTAAATTATAAAAATAGCTGCAAATATTGAGTTATTAGTAAGAACTAATATGATAGAATACAAGGATTCTGTGTAAAATTAATAAATAACATTTAAAAAGAAAAGTATTTAACTAGCTTGCTTTCCCTAACTGAAATCCTGAACCTTTATTTCCTTTTTAAAATCTTCCCTGGTTCCTTTAAAAAAACGTTTTTTTTTCCTATTTTAATTGGTGCTCCCTCACTACTTTTCTCATACTTTTATTTTTGCACTTACTTCATTGTGCTGTAGTTACGTATTTACCTTTTGATCATCTCCACTAGACCATCAGGATTATAGACATGTTTGTCTATCCGTGTGTTACCAGTGGCAACCATATTAGCAAGTACTTGATAAATGTTTGTAAAATAGGTATGAGAAGAAATTTTTCAGTGATGTTTCTTTGTGTGTTTAATTACAATATCTGCTGGGCAGCAATGATAACACAATGATGGGCAAACATGCCTATAATCCTGATGGTCTAGTAGAGACGATAAAAATGTAAATACATAATTACAGCACAGTATTGTAAGTGCATAAATAGAAGTATTAATAAGATAGTAAGACAGCACTGATTAAAATAGAGATTTTTTTTTCCCCCCAAGAACCGAGGAAAATTTCAAAAGAAAGAAGAAAAGGTTCAAGATTTCAGTTAGGAAAGCAAATTAGTTAATTACTTTATTAATGTTAATTTCTTTTGAAATGTTAAATTTTTTTTTTCTGTTAATGATAATATCCAGGCATGTGACAATAAAGAGTTCTGTTGTGTTGTGTAGTCATATTAGGGACTCTTCGAGCATGATCCATCCTGACCGTGGTCCAGAGGCAAGGAGGAGAAGGTTGGCAGTAATGTAATTGTTGATAGAATGAGGAGCTTGAAAAAGAGGGAAATTCAGTGTGTTTTGCATGTTGCTCAATGTAGAAAATGTTATTGAATACCTTCACCTCTTTCTTCACCATCAAAATTTTTTCAAGTTCATCTTCTCTGGGTCTCAAGTTTTCTTAACTGTGAAATAAGGGAGTTGAGTCAAATGATCTTTAATGGCCCTTCTAGTTATATGATTCAATTTGGAGATTCATGGTTATATATATATTTTGGTGGGTTTTCTTTGTAAACAACTTGGTAAAATAAACTTAACAAACTGGAGCTGATCTCTGCATTTTGTTAAATGTAATGCACCTTCATTCTTCCTTTTTTTTTTTTTTTTAACATAAACAGTGTTGAAACAACCTTAAAGCAATTAGAAAGAAAATTCAAGGAGATAGGGCTTAAATTGGGCTTTGTATAATGAGAGATGCATGAGAGACAAAATACAATGTGTTGCAGACAATGTCATGAAACAAAATGGGTGTGAACTGCTGTATGGAAAATAAATTTGCTCTGTAAACTTTCACCAAAATCACAATAAAATTAAAAAAAACAAAAATAAAGACAGTATGGATGGCCATGGGAATGGTGAGGATGAGCAGTAGCTTCATGGCAAGCATGTTGACAAAGTTGGAAGATTAGGTAAATAGAAGAGAGGGCCTGGAATGCCTTGGAGAGTTCCCATTAATTCTATAAGCCATAGCAGACCATGTTCAGGCAGGAGGAGAGGACGAAGTTGTACCTGTTGGATATCATCAAAGGCTTGGCAGGAGATGAAACTAAAATGAGCAAAAAGGAAGACAAGAGGAAATTGTTAAGGACCCAACTGGCACAGGCTCTAAGTGAAGAGAAAGACTGGAATAGAAGCGCATCCTGAAAGGGAGGCGGGTTGATTTTGCCAAATAACCGTATCATTCAGTTCTAAAGCATCGGAAACGATGCTTAGAGCATGAGGACTATGGCAGCCCAGCAAGCCTTTACCACCCACGAGTGTGTCTCTTAACTGATAAAATATTTATCTCAGCTGTCCAGTGTGGTTTGCAAAAATGTTTATTAATGAGTTTCAGGAGAGATTTCCTATCTTTGTTGAAAACAGGTGTATTTCTGAGACTCCTACATAGCTTAAATGAAGATTGCTCAGTTTTATTATTTTAACAGCATCCCTTGATCCCCACTCTTGAAGTACAGGCATATATCCAGAGCTTTTTAAAATTATTATTATAGGCCATGTTCCTGCATGTCTACACTTTTTATTCTTATGTAATTTTTTTTTTCCTAGTATTCTTTGTATTCATTTGTACTTCTTGAGTTTTAAATTCTAGGATTATTTCAGTATTATCCCATGTAGGAACTTAGAAACTTGGCTTGACAATGAGGCCGACAATTTATATGTCAGGGTGTAACTGCCTGCCATATTCTTTGCTGTTTTGCATTCCATTGCAAAGTATGCCTTTGTTTAGTCTTGAGGGAGTAAGCTTCTCCAATTTTCTGTATACTTGAGACATGACTTTTACATAGCTAATAACTGGTCTGCTTTGTATGGAATGCAGATGTTTGCATTTTCACATAGCTTCTCCAATCTCCTCACCATTCCTTTTGCAAACTACAAGTTGTCTAAGATCTATAGTGAAGGATGGAGGCTTTTTTTTTTTTTTTTTTTAGTGTAATTGTTCAGAAAATTACATGGGCTAGGGCAGACAAACTGTGCCTTCTTTCTAATTTACCTCATTTATTTCCAAAATTTTTCAGTCTGTTTTGTACCACATGTAGCACACTATGGAAGGTCTGGTTAATGAATTATTACCCGTTGAATCTACTAAGTCCTTTACTAACAGTATGCTTTTGAAGCTAGAAAATGTTTTGTAAAACCAAATTTTAAGGATTTTATAATTTTGTATTGCAGTTGCACTTTATAATTTTGAACACAAATAAGAAACTTTTTGTCCAGCCTAGGAATTTAAGATTCTATGTTTGTGCACATGATTGATATTCAGATGAATTTTAATATTAATACTTAAATACATGATACTTTTGGGGAAAGTAATTGCTGCCCTTGTTATTCATAAAGTCCATTTTAAGTTTGCTTGTTGTAAAGATTGATTCTTTTTTAAGAGCAAGAGCTTTGGGGATTATGGTACTGAGTATAGATATGTTATGTCTTATCTCCCCAAAATTAATTTACCCTAATCTGGTGTCTGGGCTTCTTTTCTTCCCCTGACTTAGTTCTTGGCTCTCTAACAAATGCAATAGTCCCACAAGTTTCCATTTGAAGCAGTGATTTGTGCAATGTATCAGGGCAGTCCTGATGGTGGCCATGACTCCAAAGGAAATTATATGTAGAGGGCAAAGCCGGCTCAGGAGAATGGTGATAGTGATCAATGGCAAGCCAGCCCTGGGGAAAGAAGTGATGGGAACTATTTCCTGCACTTTTAACCTCCTCATATTTGCACGTCTCCAAGTTCTTAAACACTTTAGGGTATATGCATTGTCTTAGTTGTCTGTTGCTGCTATAACAGAAAAACCATGAGTGGATGGATTTAACAAACAAATTTATTTTCTCACAGTTTAGGAAGCTATAAGTCTGAATTTGGCACTTGACTGCTAACCAGAAGGCTGGTGGTCCAAACCCACCAGCCACTCCTCGGAAGGAAGGTTGGACCATCTACTTCTGTAGTGATACTGCCTCAGAAACCCAAGGAGGGGTCACTATGTGTTGGGGCTGACTCAACAGCACATAAGCTGTAGGAGAGGGCTTTCTTTCTCTGTCGGTTCTGGAGGAATGTCCTTGTCTCTTTTAGCTACTGCTCCTGGGCAGTTTTCATGCAACTTGGCATCTCTCTTACCCACCTCTGCTTACTGGCTTTCTCATTCAATCTCTTTTATACCTCAAAATAAATTGATCTGAGACACCCTACATTAATCTTGTCTCATTAACGTAACAAAGACAACCCATTCCCAAATGGGATTATAACCACAGGCATAGAGGTTAAGATTTATAACACTATTTTTCGGTGGCACATTTTAATTCATAACATACAGTAAAGGTTCATTTATTTACTTGTTTGTTTCCTATATATTACACTTTTCAGTTTGAATTTACAGAAAAGTTAGACATTTTTTATACTCCCTTCTTGAGAAAACTGAAATACAGGACAAATAAGTCATTTATTTAGAGTGTATTAACAGAGCTCTGGTAGCATAGTGGCTAAGGCACTTGACTGTTAACCAGAAGGCTGGCGGTTCAAACCCACCAGCCACTCCTCAGAAGGAAGATGGGGCAATCTACTTCTGTAGTGATACTGCCTGGGAAACCCAAGGAGGGGTCGCTGTGAGTCGGGTCTGACTCGACGGCACATAACAACAACAACAACAATAGAGTAGGTGCCTAATACATATTCATTGGCTGGTAAGAATAAGAAAGGACTGTAACTGGACCTCCTGACTCTTAATCCTGCATAGTTTAATAGCTATTAATTGAGAAACGGTCTTCGGTATTTTACTATTTCTTATTCTCAAGTAACCATGTAAAACCCAACCCACTGCATCGAGTCCATTCCAACTCATAGCGACCTTGTAGGACAGAGTAGAACTGCCTATAGAGTTGCCAAGGCTTAAATCTTTAGGGAAGCAGACTACCTCATCTTTCTCCCGCATGGTGGCTGATGAGTTTTGGTAGCAGCAGACTGCTTTAACCTCTACAACACCAGAGTTCCCTGCATGGTGAAAAGGCATCTGAGAAGACAAAAGTTAAAGTCTTTAATCTTATTGAAAGGGGCTCTGGTGATGCAGTGCCTAAGGCATTTGACTGCTAACCAGAAGGTGGTGGTTCAAACCACCCCACAGAAGGAAGCTGGGGCAATCTACTTTGGTAAAGATTTACTGCCTCAGAAACCCAGTGGAGGCCATTATGAGTCAGAATCGACTCCATGGCAGTGAGGTTTTTTTTTTTAGTGTTATTGATTACTATTTATTGACCCATGTCATTTTTATCTTCACAGAAATTGGCCCGGTTACAATTACCACAGATCCTAAGAAATTTCAGTATGAACTCAGAGAGTTATATGTTCAGGTGAGTACTTGCTTTCAATTTTGCTTCTTTTTAGGGGATGGAAAATCATGAACTTTTGGCTGATATTCCTTACTTTTAAATCTGAAAGAAGTAATTGTTGGGTTATTAGGGACCCCAATAAATATCATCTATTTTTCCTCCTTGAATTCTGAACCAGTTGAGCAGTAGGCTTGGAAAAATTTGTTCACCTCTGCCCTATTGAATTTTTTCACTTACTGAGTAGTTATGGAAATAGGTATGGAAATAAGGTTTAAAATATTATCTGTATTACTAACACAGTATTTAGAGAATGTGACTTGTTGACATCCTTGAATTAGATGTCCTTACGCACATAATGTCTGCCACTGCTGAATGACCAGGGAACATGCTTTCTGTAGGCAAAAAAAATCACAAAAGAAGGCCTCAAAAGAGCTTTGTTGTTGTTGTTATGTGCCATCGAGTCAGACCTGACCTATAGCAACCCCTCCTTGGGTTTCTGAGGCTGTATCACTATGGAAGTAGGTTGCCCAACCTTTTATCCAAGGAGTGGCTGGTGGGTTTGAACCAGCAACCTTCTGGTTAGCAGTCAAGTGCCTTTGCACTCTGCAGAAGGGCTTACCCAGTTCTTTCTCCCAAATTCACCAATCAGATAAGTCAACCTTCTGCTGAGAAACAGTGAGTGAAAGGTAGAGAGGCCAAGAATTTGACTCCAGAAAAGGGGTCAGTAAAGTAGAGCCCATGGACCAATTTCTGTTTTTATAAATGACATTTTACTGGAAAACAGCCATTCCCATTCATTTATCATTGTCTTTGGCTGCTTTCATGCTACAACAATAGAGTTGAACAACTGTAATAGAGACTGTATGGTCTACAACCCCTAAAATATTTGCTGTCTGACATTTTATAGAAAAAAAAAAATGTTGACCCCTGAGCTCTTGAGATTCTTGACTTAAAATCATAAAGAACATTTAATAATTCTTCCCCCACAACAGCAAAGTATAACTAAGATAATTTTGATATTCTATGCTGTAAGTTGATTATATGAAAATTTCAACTCTAAAAATAATTATATTATTAAAAAACAAACAAACTCATTGCTATCCAGTTGATTCCAACTCATGGTGACTGTGTGTCATAGAGTAGAACTGCTCTAAAGAGTTTTCTTGGCTGTAATCTTTATGGAAGTAATTTGCCAGATCTTCTTCCGTAGTGCCCTTTGGTGGGCTTGTACTACCAACTTTTAGGTTAGAAAACCAAACCAAACTCACTGCCGTCGAGTCAGACCCGACTCATAGCGACCCCTCCTTTGGTTTCCGAGGCAGTATCACTACAGAAGTAGATTGCTCCATCTTCCTTCCAAGGAGTGGCTGGTGAGTTTGAACAGCCAGCCTTCTGGTTAGCAGTCAAGTGCCTTAGGCACTATGCTATCAGAGCTCCCAGTTAATGGATGTAGGTGGGTTATATATTTGGTATCCAGAATCACAGGGAATTTTCACATGAAGGTTTCCATTTGTGGGTGCCTATGTAAGGAAAAGTAAGTGAAATCTCTTGCTCAGGATAGATCATTTACTAAAAGAGCCAGTTGTAGTTTTTTCTCCTTTCCCGCATCTGCTTTTAACAAATAACACCTTTTGTCATTCTCAATTCATTTAAAGCCAAACAAGGTGTCTGTGTTCATTGCCATCCTTTCCTCACATTTTTCTCATCTACTCCTCAACTATTTTAATCTAGTTCCCAGGTTCTTCTCTTCACTCTGTCAAAGTAGCTCTGTTGTTGTTGTTGTTGTTATGTGCCATGGTGTCGGCCCCGACTCATAGCGACCCCTCCTTGGGTTTCCGAGGCAGTATCACTATGGAAGTAGATTGCCCAACCTTCCTTCTGAGGAGTGGCTGGTAGGTTTGAATCACCAGCTTTCTGCTTAGCAGTCAAGTGCCTTAGGCACTATGCTACCAGAGCTCCCAAAGTAGCTCTAGTCAGTCATTAATAATTTCCATTTTGCTAAATGTAGTGGGAACATTTCAGTCCTTACCATGTTGGATGGACATCTTTTAGTATTTGACAATAGTGGCCTCTCTCTTCTCTTTGACTCATTCATTCTCTTTCCTCACCTACTCTTCCATTTTTTCCCCTACTTTCTTCTCTCATTATATGTATTTTCTTCCCACTTCTTCTCTAGGCAAGCTCATTCTACTCCATTTCACCACTGAATTTTGGGATTCCTCAAAGTTTTGGGACTAGCCACTCTTTTTTCTCACTTTAAATACTCTCATTAAGTAAAATCATCCATACCACATAAATATGTTTCTAGCTTAGACTTCTTCTCTGAGAAACAGACCATTCTCTTGGTTGTCACAATGTTCCCTCTAAATGAAATTTATGAAATTGCTCCAAACTTTGTCTTTGATCCTTTGTCCTTGTCCTCTGTTTACTATCTTTGAGAATGTCTACAACATTCTGGTTATACAACCAAAAATTCCAATGCTTAATACAACTTTCACTTTTCCTCCTTACATATAAACCATCACTAAGTGCTGTTTTTTTTTTTAACTTCATAAATATTTTAAAAATTAATTAAATTATCACCATTTCCACTGGCAACATGCTAGTCCAAATGACTATCTTTAGTCTAAATGAATGCAAAATAGCTTCTAAGTGATTTTCCTGTATTTTCTCTTGCTTTTATTTTCCAGAACTTTCTTTGACGACAGAATTATTTCAAAACACACCTCTGTACATATCTCCCTATTCCTCATCCACTTTTTTCCCTTGCCCCTCACATTCCATCAGATTCTTTCCAAGGTTCTGAATGACCGGAGGCTTGCCTACTTTTCAGCCACATCTAGTTCCACTTTCTCCCTCGGGTCCAGTGCGCTGTCTTAGACATAGACCCTCCTCATATCTGTATCCTCATCCATCTCTCCATGAGGTTTTTGCACATGGTGTTCTCCTTGCATAGGATGTTCCCGTTTCTCTTCATTCTGCCTTCCACATTCACACTCCCATTACCTAGTTTAAATTTCTGTTAATACTCAAAGTCTCATCTTGAATACAGCTTAGAGAATTCCACTCTATCCTCTAGGCTTGGTCATATCCTGCTATATCATATCTTGTTTATTCATCATGAAGCAGTTGAAGTGAAGGACTGCTTCTGATTTAGCTCACCCTTGATCCTCTAGTAAAATGCCTGCCATATCGAATTTGTTCACTTTTTTGACAAATAAATGGATGAATGCTGATATGTACAAATTAGTAGTCTAAATCAGTGTTTAAAGTATAATATTTTGATTGGTTTCCCTGTTGGGTGAATGACTTCATTCAAAATTGCACATAATGTAAGCATGATTGAGGCATCTAGTGAAAAATCCAAAGTCTGGCATTCCAAATATGTATTCAGTGGTGATTTTTTTCTTGTTCATGCCTCTATTTTTAAATTATATATGGATTGGACTGTATTTTGTAACTATCTAAATAGATTTATATAATTATCCATGGACTATTTTTCTCTTTTATTAAATTTTCTTTTTTCCCCACTAATAATCTTCCATTTCCTTTCTCTTTAACCATGCCATTCTTTTTTCAGTCATTACTTACTTATTTACTTTTACCTCCATCAATATAGCAAATTCTTTGTCACTTTGGATGCCCAGATTATCTGAAAAAAATCTTTACATAGAAAATTCTATGTACATGGGTCATGGGATTGAGAAATTCTTAAGTTCTCCTGTTGTACTGTGAGATCATGAGGGCAAAAACTTTGTCTAACTTGTTTACCCTCTTTACTGATTGTGGTGTGAACTGGTGTTTATAGCAAAATATATTGTAAACAGTTCCTGAATAAATAAATGTCATACATGGGTGGCTTTTTTAAAAAAATGTACATTTACCAATAACATTATATCAAATGTAATTTAGATGTTACTCAATTGTATAAATGCCACTTTACAAATGTAATTATCAGTTTTCATTATATTGTGGAGATTTAGAAATGCCAAGTAGTGGAAATCTTTAGCCAATACAATATTTGAAAGAGATTTAGTGTATTCATTTTCCCCCTCTATGAGACTATAGCTAGGCTATTTTGTTGAAAATTTGACCAGATATAGAAATATATGCATTCTCAATGATAGCTGGCATGAATGCTCCCTAATTTCCTGCCTCTCCCTTGCTTTTGTTCCAAAGGATCTTCAGGGAGTGTCCTTATCCTCCCTCTCCATTCATCTCCAGGGTTAAGGATCATGATTCCTGACTCATACTCCATTGATACCTTCCCTAGCATCCTCACCCATAATCCCTTGGAATTGAACCTGATACAGAGAGACCCTATGTTGTTGTTGTTGTTATGTGCCCTCAAGTCGGACCTGACTCATAGCGACCCCTCCTTGGGTTTCCGAGGTGGTATCACTACAGAAGTAGATTGCCCAACCTTCCTTCTGAGGAGTGGCTGGTGGGTTTGAACTGCCAGCCTTCTGGTTAGCAGTCAAGTGCCTTAGGCACTATGCTACCAGAGCTCAGGTCATATAAACTATTTTTGTTAAAGAAAATAATTAATCTTTCTTTCTCTCTTGGAATGAAAGCAGTGTCCTTTTTTTCTGAAGGTTTCCTCTGGACAGACTGAATCTTGTGAGATTTATTGTTTCATTGTTTTGGGATCTAAGAGGATGCTTAATTAAAACAAGCAGCCAGGGAAGAAATAAAACATTTCCTTTCTTCTTTCATTCAACACTGGGCGTTGTTATAGGCATTGAGGATACTGTGGAAATGTTTTAACTTTTGAAGGTTCTAGTGAATTATTCTCTTTTAAATCAATGGCAAAAATTCCATTAATAATCAAATAGGAAAAGACTCTATGCTATATTGTTACTTTAATACTAACCTAAAGATTACATATTGTTTTCTTTTTGATATTTGCCTAGAGATTATTTTATTATTTCATAAATCAATCTGAGATACTTAATTTCATAAATTTAATGAAATTTTAGTCTGAGTTACCAAATTTTGTTTTGTGTGTGATTTCCAGAACT